AACCAAACTAAACCAAACCAAACCAAACCAAACCAAACCAAACCAAACCAAACCAAACTAAACCAAACCCCATCTTTACATATAGTCCTCTAACAGTCTAACAGTCCTTTAATAGTCAGAAGTCCTTTAATACCACTAGATTTGATTCTTCAATCGATTTGAACCGATCAATTGAATGAGTGGCATAAGCCAACAAAATATAAAGATCCATTTCCTTAGGGTAGTGTCGAAAACGGATCATCGAAGAGCGTTTTTGGCTACCCTTTTTTTTTTGACTGACTTTCTTGACTGACTTTCTTGACTGACTTTCTTGACTGACTTTCTTGACTGACTTTCTTGACTCACTTTCTTGACTCACTTTCTTCTTGACTACCTAAATCTAGAAATAAAACATTTTGAAACTTTTTTTTAAGGTTATTTTACCGAGAAACAATTGATCTTTCTAATGAAATTAGCTTTCTAATCTTTCTTTCTAATGAAATAATCAATCAGTGCATTTATTGATTTTAAAAAGAAGTATAAAAAGAAATGAAAAGACTTTTTGAAAAGCCGAATCGTACCTAATCGTTATTAAGTTCTAAACTTCTTTCAATCATCCTAATTTTCAATATCTAGCCGTGGTGTGTGCCAGTTAAGAAAATCCAATCGTTAAAATATATAAACTATTGTCGAAAAGTACAGTAATCTCTTCAAACCTCATTCATAGTATCACCATTCATCTATTTCCTCTAAATCTAATCATTTTACTGCTAGCTAACCGTCGTGCCTTCCAGATCACAAGGATAAATAGTTAGAATATGTCGACTATTGTCGAAAAGTACAGTAATCCTGTCGAACCTCACTCATAGTATCACCATTCATCTATTTCCTCTAAATCTAATCATTTTACTGCCAGTTAACCATCGTGAGTTCCAGATCACAAGATTAAATAGTTAGAATATGTCAACTATTGTCGAAAAGTACAGTAATCCCTTCACAGCTCAATTACCGTATGACCATTCACCAATTTCCTTCAAATCTAATTCTTTTACTGATATTTAACCGTCGTGAGTTCCAGATCACAAGAATAAATAGTTAAAATCAGTAACTTGTTGTCGAAAAGTCCAAAAGCCTTCCTGCACAGCTAATTCCATCAAATTCAGACCTACAACGCGCATCGCCGAGACGTGATCCGAATCGCGCACGACCTCGCGCACAATTGTCAGTCATTCGTGGCTCTTCTCGAGCAAAGACATCAGAAATCGGCTGAATTCTCTTCAATTCTCAGCGATTGCTGAAACCCTGAAGATCTTTTTGTCAAAAAAGGAAGCTTATCCCATTTTTCGGCCGAAGCTATCTTTCGATCACCATTTTCATTGCGGGTTTTCATTTTAATTGCCATTTTATGATTTTAAACGATTTTAAACCAGTTTAAACCAGTTTAGACCAGTTTAAACTAGTTTAAACCATTCTTAAACCAGTTTAAACCATTCTTAAACTGGTTTTGAACCCGGGGTTTAAACTGGTTACAGCCATTCCCCAAACTAGTTTAAACCAGTTTAAGAACCAGGTTTGACCAGTTTAAACTTCGGTTTAGGCGTTTCTAGAGAAACTGGTTAAACCAGGTTTGACCATTCTTAACGGTTAGACCGGTTTGAGCCAGTTTAAGACCGAGTTTAGACCAGTTTAGGCCAATTCCCGCCAGGGAGAAACTAGTTTAAACCAGTTTAAACCATTCTTAAACCAGGTTCAGAAACATTTTTCTCTTAGACACCGCCGCTTGGTCACGGATTTAATAGAATGTTTCAGGCAGCCTATGCCTCTTTTTCGAGATTTGTTGTGAAGTTAATCCCCCGGTTAGTTCAAGGAGAGGTTCTTTTCGTTAGAAATTTCGTTTTAGAGGAATTCCAGTCACTTCCAATAGAGTTTTGCAGTGTCTGAATTACCAATCCGAGCCAACTTTCCAACTCTGCCAGAATTTGGAATCGACTCATAAAGAGTTTGAGAGTCCAATAGTCTCGAAATCTTTAAATTTATCTGTAGATGATCTTGATCTTGTCTTCAGCTCTTGACCTTGAAATACCATTGGATCATTCATTTTTCACCTAGTGGATCCTTGAAACTACCTAAAGTGGATCCTTGACGCTACCTAGTGGATCCTTGACGCTAGCTAAGTGGATCTTCCGGCGCTACCTAGTGGATCCTTGACGCCTTCAGTGGATCCTTGACGCTACCTAGTGGATCGCCAGGCCCTCGCCGGTCGATCCTTGACGCTTTACCTAGCAGTGGATCCTTGGCCCTACCCAGTAGTCCTTGACCCTGCCAGTAGATCGCCAGGCGCTACCTAGTGGATCCTTGACCCTCGCAGTAGACCCGGCCCTACCCAGTAGATCCTTGACGCTACACCTGGTGAAGATTCCTTGACCCTCGCCGATGAGTCATGACCCTGCACCTCGTAGATCCATGACGCACCTAGTGGATCCTTGACCCTACCCAGTAGATCCTTGACCCTACCCAGTAGATCCTTGACGCTAACCTAGTGGATCCTTGACCCTACCAGAGTAGATCGCCGGCCCTACCCTGTAGATCCTTCGGCGCTACCTAGTGGATCATGACGTTTATCTGGCGCTATCTGGTGAATCCTCGACCCTACCTAGTCGATCCTTGCTCTGAGTGGATCCTTGACGCTATCTGTTGCTACCCACATTTTACATATATTATATCGTGTTTCTTTTCATCGGCCACTTTTCGTGTTTATGCTGTTTGAATTCATGTGTTTTTAATCTTGAAATCTAGCGCCCTTTATCTCGAGTCCTGAATAGCGTATCTACATATATATATGTTGTGTCCGATTTGAATTTCCGTCCGATTTAGATTGAATCTAAATCAGGCGTTGATAGATTGAACATCATGGACGTCCGATTTGGAATTACAGTCTATATCGGACGTCCATTTAGACTCAGTAAATCAGGACGTCTTATAAGATTGAACAATAATATAAACATGTTTAGTATATTGTTCATAAGCGTTTTCTGTAGTTTTCTGCATTTTCAAAGGTCTGTTATTACGTCTTTTTCTGGAAAGAAAACCCAACTATGAAATAATTATTAAAAGACCTTTGAAAATGCAAGAAAACTACAGCGCTTAAAAACATATATAATATATTTATCATTCATATTTAATCCCTAAAAGTATTCCAATTAGATGATAAATCCGATATAGACTGTAATCTAAATCGGACGTCCGCATTCAAGTTCAATCTAAATCGGACGTCCGATTTTAGATTCAATCTAAATCGGACGGAAATCTAAATCGGACCAACATTTATATATGTTTTTAAACCATTTCGAAACCATTTTCTAAACTCAATCTCGACAAAAAACAACAACCCCCCATTCTTCTCAAATTCTCTTTCTCTCTTTCCAGAAATTTCCAATTTTTATAAAATCTTTTTCAATTAAAACAAACAAAAACTGCAAATAGAACAAAAAACAGATTAAAACTAGAGTTTACTATTAAAAATCAATTCAAATAATGTCCAAAATATGAGGAGGTCAAAATTTTACTGCTAGCTAACCGTTGTGAGTTCGAATAGAAAGATTAAATGGTTAGAATAGCTAAGTTATTGTCGAAAAGTACAGTAATCCCTTCAAACCTCATTCCATAGTAAAATTACCATTCATCTATTTCCTCTAAAATCTAATCATTTTACTGATAGTAGCTAGCCATCGTGAGTTCCAGATCACAAGATTAAATAGTTAGAATATATGTCAACTATTGTCGAAAAGTACAGTAATCCTGTCGAGACCTCATTTTACCGTATCACCCATTCACCAATTTCCTTCAAATCCTAGTCTCTTTTACTGCTAGTTAACCATCGTGAGTTCCAGATCACAAGAATAAATAGTTAGAATATGTCGACTATTGTCGAAAAGTACAAATAATCCTGTGAGCTTCGTTTACCGTATCACCATTCATCTATTTCCTCCTAAATCCAGTCTTTTTACTGCTCGCTAACCGCCGTGCCTTCCAGATCACGAATTAAAATAGTTAAAATTGTCAACTATTGCCGAAAAATTACAGTAATCCTTCAAACCTCACTCATAGTATCACCATTCTCCTATTTTCCTCTAAATCCTAATCATTTTACTGCCAGTTAACCATCGTGAGTTCCAGATCACAAGATTAAATAGTTAGAATATGTCAACTATTGTCGAAAAGTACAGTAATCCCTTCACAGCTCCATTTACCGTATGACCATTCACCAATTTCCTTCAAATCACCGAATTTTTGCACTGCGCTAACCATCGTGAGTTCCAGATCACCAAGATTAAATAGTTAGAATATGTCAGCTATTGTCGAAAAGTACAGTAATCCCTTCACAGCTCAATTACCGTATGACCATTCACGAAGATTTCCTTCGAAATCGAAATTTTACTGCTAATGCTCCCCATCGTGAGTTCCAGATCACAAAGATTAAATAGTTAGAATATGTCAACTATTGTCTAAAGAAAAGTACAGTAATCCCTTCACAGCTCAATTACCGTATGACCATTCACCAATTTCCTTCAAATCGAGAATTTTTTCTGCTCGCTAACCATCGTGAGTTCCAGATCACAGAGATTAAATAGTTAGAATAATATCCGCTATTGTCGAAAAGTACAGTAATCCCTTCACAGCTCAATTACCGTATGACCATTCACCAATTTTCCTTCAAATCGAGAATTTTTTACTGCTGGCTAAGCAAATAGTGAGTTCCAGATCCCAAGATTAAATAGTTAGAATATGTCAACTATTGTCGAAAAAGTACATTAATCCCTTCACAGCTCAATTACCGTATATTACATTCACCAATTTTCCTTCATAAATCTAGTCTTTTTACTGCTAGCTAACCGTCGTGCCTTCCAGATCGCAAGAATAGTCTTTTAAATTTACAATTTTAATAAATCTTTTTTAATTAAGCAGAACAAACTGCAGCAACAAACGATTAAAACTGAGTTTACTATTAAATCAATTCAAAGTAATGTCTCCAAATTATGGCCTTTTGTTAGCTAGTAATGTAAAATTACTTTAAAATACTTTAAAATTACTTTAAACCTAAGAAAGATTAGCTTTACCTAAGAAAATGATTCAAAAAACATTTCAAAGCATCTCTTTCTTAAGAAATGCGTTTGTTTTCTTTAAGAAATGCATTTCTTTCTTTAAGAAATCCTTCATCTCTTTCTCTCATCTGTTTCTGTTAATAAAAACCATCTGTTAACTCTAAGAGAATCACTCCATGAAACTTTTTCTCCATGAAATACTCCTTTAAAGACTCTGTAAACAATTTGATATCAACGAGAGAATGTCTAGACTAGATGTCTGAACTGAATGTCTGAACTGAATGTCTGAACTGAATGTCTAGACTAAGAATGTCCTGGACTCTCTAGATTCGTCTATTATCAACAGCTCCATCATTTAGGAAAGAATGAGCACAATTTGTACCTAAGAATCTCCTCTTACAAGCGGACTTTATGCACTCGTAAACACTGGCTTTCTCATTTGCGCCTAAATCCCATGCCTTTACACTCGGACTATAGGACTCAATAGGTTATCAGGGTAGAATAAGGCTAGGTACAACAAGCCTAGATACAATAATACTAATTTCCCGCTGGCTGTCCCCATCCAGCCTGGCCACCCCTCCAGCCTGTTCCCCCCAGCCTGTCTATCCTTAACCACCCAGTACCCGTCCCAGCCCTTACTTCAGCCTGCCTATCAAGCTATCTTCATCCGCCTGTACCCACAAGCCTGCCCTTTCAGCCTGTCCCCATCACGATTTGTCCATCAGCCTGCTTAGCTGTTTTCCCTTCAGCCTGTCCCCATCGGCCTGTCCCCATCAGCCTGTACCCTCCGGCCTGTCCCCATCAGCCTGTCCCCCTACAGCCTAAGCTTAAGCCTAAGCCTGAGCTAAGCCTAAGCCTAAGCCTACCCCATCGGCTTGTACCCCTTCAGCCTGTATACCTGCAGGCTGTACCCCCTCAACCTGTTTTTCCAGTTAAACGGTTAAAAATGGCCCTTTGGCACCAGCAAAAAGCAAGTACCGGCTACAGGCTACAGCCGGGAACGTTATTTCGGGTGGGTGGGGCAGTATTATTTTCCATTCATCCCAAGAAGCCACAGCTACAACAGGCTCAGCTACGGGAGACCCCGCTACAAGACGCCCGGCTATCCTAGCCCAGCTACAATCCTTTATAAACTCGAAAACTGATCCAAAAATGATATCCAAAAGAAATTTGATCTCATTAACCCCAAAAAC